CTTGCCCTTCTTCCTTATTCATTGCCGGCTCTAAGATAGCAGCTACAGTACGCGTTCTATTTAGGTTTACAGTCACCTTGCCGCTATCAGGAAGACTCGCCACCAGCTTTGATTTCTTCTGCCATCTGCAGATTCATCTCTCTCTCACTTTATGTCTCCGATTTTTATGAGGAGGATACTGGCATTTACGAACCCGAAGGTCTAAATCTCACACCAAGTTGTGCACGATATTTGAGGTACATCGTGAAATCACGGCCTTCGTAATCTCGAAATAAGCCAATACGCGCTAGAATAAGCTCCATCTCGGACGAAACGCATGTTTGGGATACACCGACGTCTCGCAAATGTTTTTTTTAAGCTGTTTACCCACGAATTTAGAGGTATGAGCTGTTGCCGTCCCTGGCCAGCGCGAGAAAAATAACATTTGGTTCTACAGTTAGTTGCAAAGGAACAAGACAACTGCACCATCTTGACTTTATCAATTCGAGTGTTAGATTGAATTGAGGGCTTTTTAGACACTCGATTTCTTATATGCATCACTATGAAGACGTAATACAACTGATACACCTACAGTGCATAGGATTAACAATGTCTGTTGCGCTGTTGCGAGAAGGAGGAAAATATTACCGGAAGTGTAAACTCTTTTTAAAAAGAGTTTCAGAGACGTTTCAGAGATGTCTATCTTTGATCGGCTGTCACAAAAAAAGACCCCCATTTAAATTTACTAGGAAAAATGAACTTACCAACTCCTTGTTGAAAAAATTGGAATTCATTTGACCGATACGCCGGTTGTTTCAACTTTGCTTTTTCCTCGAGTTGCTATAAAACAGTTCATAAATTGACTAATGAATAAAATGTTTTGAAATACCGTTCGGAATTTGCCTTTTTTTTCTGCGTGCAAATCAAGGGTAGACAAAGTTTTTAAAACATTTGACTACAATTTCATGGAGTTCACCTCGATAATTTTCGTCGGCCAGATTCAAGACGCGCCAAGGTAAGGGACATCGCCCTCCAGTAAAATAATTTTCCAAAGAATAAACGTGGCAAGCGTGAGGAAACGCACATTTTTTTTATCATTGTGATCAAAGCCCAACGATGTATCTACATTGGTACTTACGGTATCAAACCATCGATTATGACAGGGTGAGCTTAATTTTTCTGTCGAGGTCGACGTGACTTCACATGAAAAGCGTTTTTGACGGAACAAACTAGTGAGCATCACTGCACGAACTGAGAAAGTAAAAACTTGTATTTATCTCCCACGCGTTTCGTCTGACAATAGTAGACTTCATCAAGAATTTTTTCAAGTAGGGTAAATAAGCTTGCTCATATACAAATAGTAAATAAGTTTTCTCTTTGCTATTGAAGCCAATGGATAGAATTCGCCAGGTGCGCCTACGGTGTTATAAATGCGTGACATTTTCCTGACGTTACATGTGCGAGTACGTGATCCGTTTGAGGGTCACAGATTTAGGGTAAATATTTCACCCCTCAACATCACGCAATGTCTCTAGTTTATAGAGGTCTTAGAACGTTTCATTATATGGAGTTGCCTTCTGCGGGTAGAAGGCTACAAGTGAATTTCTCAGGCGTAATTGCCTTTGATTTCTTAATTGATGTTGTCGCAAACCTAGTTTTTGGTAGTCACGAGACAAAAAAAACTTATGAGGACGTAGTTTCATGTTCTAATGGAAATAAATAGCAAATAAAAACACATTTTCTTGAGAAATAAAGTCACAAATGACGGGGGTTCTCCGAAACAAATAGTGATAGAAAAGGATTTCCGTTCTGGTCAATATTGACTTTTCACGGCCTACTTCCAAATCTGAGGGAAAGCACTGAGGGAATAAAAAAACATAAATGTGTGATAATGCAAGCAAGAGAATGAAAATCCAAATGAAGAAAAAGGAGAAAACATAGGAACCTGTGTTGCAGCGTGCAGATATCTTTCGAGCCAGACCTACACACCTAAGCCCGACACCACCCAGAGAAACTCGAAAGAGTCCTGTATATGAACTAGCTCGCACGTGCACGCAGGAAAGGCCATGACAATCAGCGAAAATAATAGCAAATGCAGATGATATTTGCAGTCAAAAAACAGGAAAATAAGATAACAGAAGGATTACGAACTTTCTAGAAGTGTCTTCTTGAAAAAAAAGATGAACAATTTTTACTTCTCATGAAAGGTCACGCAGTGACCCTACAAATACTATTTCTATACATGGAATTCAGTCTTGATGGTGCAAGGTGGAAAAAACATTTTCCAGTCTTATTTTCTGGAAACATGGCGTAGTTAATGAATTTATGGGGCTATTGATATTTCCTATCAAATAAGGGAGGCAGAGTTTCCCGTCATTCGCGGTATGGAAAAGCCGAAGTTGTTACACTCGGGAACTTGTACGTCAACAAGCAGGCGACATGTGACTTTAAAATCTCCTCTCCTGTAACAGTTTCCTTAATGTAAACTGTGCGATAATGATAATAGACGATCAAAGTATAGGCTAATGAATGTTTTGTTCTGTACAAGAGCCCTATGTCCTGATTTTAGCAAATCTTGAAAGTAATAAACGACTGAAGAAAGAAACGCAACGATTTTCCAATTGATTTTTCGTCAACATGCATCTCTCTAAACGTGAAATTTTCCATTCCTATAAAAAATCTCGAAAGTTTTTAACATTTTTAACCTTTCTTGATCAATCATCTTGTATAAAGAACTAAAAAATGTAGGTTTATTTTGTCAAGTGACCGCCTAGAGCAAGAAGTGCGTGACAGGTGTAGTTGAGAGAAACTTGTCACAGTCGCAAATTTTAAAAGGTATCCAAGACAAAAATACGGTAGTGCCCAAAGATTTTTTTGATGATTTTCAGAGATGAAATGATGGGTTATAAAGGGTAATTAAGATTAGTCTTGTAGCTTTCTGACAACGGGAGATATTTGACCTCAAAGTTGTAAAATATTTATATGAATCGAAAAGTCTAAAAACACAGTCGTATATTTGCCTCTGTTGATTGACAAGCCGCCAATCAAACTGACTGATGCTCGCGGCGGCCATTAACTAAGGATGTAAAAATATGTGGGCAAATATCCTCAAAGCAATCAGTTAAATAGCATCGCAGTGAGAGCTTCATATATTTTACCTATTTGAAGCGATTTCATTAGTGAAAACCGAGAAAAACCGGGGGGTGGTCTATCTCCCCACGGAAAAAACCAAAACAGAAACCAGTCCGTTTTTTTTTAGTTTTGGGGTAGAGCCTTTAAACTGACAAAGTTTCATTGAAATCGGTGAGATGGCATGTAGCACGACCGCCCGGTGCTCTCGTGGACACGCTCTTAAGTCACTATCTAGCTGTTTTAGAAAGAAGGATCAGGACTTAACTAACTCTTAGTGTTTTTGTGGGAGTTGTTGATCCCAATTTAATTGTTCTTAGAAGTTTCAGTTGTCTGTAAAGCTAAATAAATCTAACTGAAACCTAATAGGGCCTGTTTATTCTTTTCCGTTTAGTTTCTTTGTTTCGTTTTGTTTTGTCTTTTTTTTTTCTTCTGGTCTGTAATGATTTCAATGGTTTCAGGTTCTTTTCTCAAAATTAAGCTACAGTAATAGTATGCTTCTTTGTGTTGTTGCCTACAGGAGCCGCTGCTTGTGTTGAATTGAAGCGATTTGAAGAAGCAATCAGTTGGTGTGATAAGGGACTAGCTGTATCCTTTGAAGGAATCGTTCATTTTTAACCGTGGGTATAAAAAAAAAGTTTCCATAATTTGATGTTTCAAGGGAGAAAATACAAAGAAGGGTATCAATTATGATGGGAACTTGTCAGCTCATATACTTTAAGTGTGTGTGATTAAAAATATAGGAGACGTTATTACCTCATGACTTATTAATGAAATTACTCCTTTTAGCCAATTTGACTTAGTTCTACTATCCATGGAAATAGCTGTTACATTAGTTTAAATAACCCTTTAATTTCCATTTGTAATTATCCTTACTGTCAACCATACAATTCTTGTAATGTTAGTACAGAGAATTCAGTATTGCATCAGCTAACTATTTTCAGATTGATATATATTTTTTTACTCTCAACACTTATCTGATTGATATTGTATTGCTATTGTAAGGAGAAATTCTCTTTTGGTCACTCACGGGAGTTAAAGGGTTAGAAGACTAATATTCATCCAGTTTATACATAGTACTTGGGTAGATCATCTCTCTAAATCAAGCCAGAACAAAAAGCTCGGTAATGTTTACATATCTTATGCAGATTTTCTTGCCTTCGACCTTTTTCCACTACTTAGAGACTCGGAAACTTTCGTCCTGCTTCCTATGAACAAATAAAAATTTTAAAGACATGTATTTGTATTGTAGACTCATTTCTTCCACTGCTGTAAAACATTTGTCTGATGTAAAAGCTATATTAATTTAAAAATTGAGCAAGTGCTGCTCAGTTTTTGGAAGCTAAGGATTAAATCTAGATATTTCGCGTTAAATGTTGAGGCTGCACACAGAAAAAACATTTTTTGAAGTGTAGATTTACTTCATAACTGACTTTAAGACTGAATGTTGATAAATCATCTACCTTTCATGCAAAGCCCTCCTAGTGGGCCATTTTATAGTTCTGTAATTAGTTGCTAAGCCTTTGATTTGGAGTGAGGCTGAAGGTGACCTTGTTGTGATAGAGACTAGTATCTAGAAACGATAATAACAAAGTAGTTTGCATTTTAAAAGCAGCAAAGTTTTTATCATAACAAGGTCACCCTTAATCATCGCTCTTGTTCAGAGGCTTGGGAACCAAGCACGCAAATGTTAAAATGGACTATTACATATCGATAGGATCAGAAACATAATCTTTTTTGTTTTTTCCATGTTTTTAACCCTTAACATACAAAAGTTTGACAAAACCAATAGGATCTTGTTGTCATTAAGACTTCAGTCTGTCAGTGGAGTGGGAGATAAGTCCATGGAGGAAAAAGATCCTATTAGTCATGACCACGGTAGTGCAAGTTCAGGTGATGTCAAGAAAGTCATAGATCTCTATAATCGGGGAGAAGAAGCAATAGAGTACCTCAACCTATATCTTAAAAAAGCTAAAGAAGTAGGAGACAAGCATGGGGAGAGTGTTGCTTATAACAGTCTTGGCAATGCTTATCACCGTCTGGGTGATTTCAAAAAAGCCATGGAGTACCACAACCTACATCTTAAAATAGCTAAAGAAGTAGGAGACAAACATGGGGAGGGTGGTGCTTATGGCAATCTTGGCAATGCTTATAACAGTCTGGGTGATTTCAAAAAAGCCATAGAGTACCACAACCTACATCTTAAAATAGCTAAAGAAGTAGGAGACAAGCATGGGGAGGGTAACGCTTATTGTAATCTTGGCAATGCTTATGACCGTCTGGGTGATTTCAAAAAAGCCATAGAGTACCACAACCTACATCTTAAAATAGCTAAAGAAGTAGGAGACAAGCATGGGGAGGGTAACGCTTATGGTAATCTTGGCAATGCCTATCAGAGTCTGGGTGATTTAAAAAAAGCCATAGAGTACCACAACCTACATCTTAAAATATCTAAAGAAGTAGGAGACAAGCATGGAGAGGGTAATGCTTATAACGGTCTTGGCAATGCTTATCGCCGTCTGGGTGATTTCAAAAAAGCCATAGAGTACTACAACCTACATCTTAAAATAGCTAAAGAAGTAGGAGACAAGCATGGGGAGGGTGGTGCTTATGGCAGTCTTGGCAATGCTTATATTAGTCTGGGTGATTTCAAAAAAGCCATAGAGTACTACAACCTATCTCTTAAAATAGCTAAAGAAGTAGGAGACAAGCATAGTGAGGGTATTATTTATGGCAATCTTGGAAATGCTTATGTTAGTCTGGGTGATTTCAAAAAAGCCATAGAGTACCACAACCTACATCTTAAAATAGCTAAAGAAGTAGGAGACAAGCATGGGGAGGGTAACGCTTATGGCAATCTTGGCATTCCTTTTTTTGGTCTGGGTGATTTCAAAAAAGCCATAGAGTACCACAACCTACATCTGAAAATAGCTAAAGAAGTAGGAGACAAGCATGGGGAGGGTAAAGCTTATGGCAATCTTGGCCGTGTTTATTTAAGTCTGGGTGATTTCAAAAGAGCCATAGAGTACCACAACCTAGATCTTAAAATAGCTAAAGAAGTAGGAGACAAGCATGGAGAGGGTGGTGCTTATAGCAGTCTTGGCAATGCTTATCAGAATCTAGGCGATTTCAAAAAAGCCATAGAGTACCACAACCTACATCTTAAAATAGCTAAAGAAGTAGGAGACAAGCATGGGGAGGGTGGTGCTTATGGCAATCTTGGCAATGCTTATTACAGACTGAGTGATTTCAAAAAAGCCATAGAGTACCAGAATCTACATCTTAAAATAGCTAAAGAAGTAGGAGACAAGCATAGGGAGGGTAACACTTATGGCAATCTTGGCAATGCTTATATTAGTCTGGGTGATTTCAAAAAAGCCATAGAGTACTACAACCTACATCTTAAAATAGCTAAAGAAGTAGGAGACAAGCATGGGGAGGGTAACGCTTATGGCAATCTTGGCAATGCTTATATTAGTCTGGGTGATTTCAAAAAAGCCATAGAGTACTACAACCTACATCTTAAAATAGCTAAAGAAGTAGGAGACAAGCATGGGGAGGGTAACGCTTATGGCAATCTTGGCAATGCTTATGTTAGTCTGGGTGATTTCAAAAAAGCCATAGAGTACCACAACCTACATCTTAAAATAGCTAAAGAAGTAGGAGACAAGCATGGGGAGGGTGGTGCTTATGGCAATCTTGGCAATGCTTATAACAGTCTGGATGATTTCAAAAAAGCCATAGAGTACCAGAACCTACATCTTAAAATAGCCAAAGAAGTAGGAGACAAGCAAGGGGAGGGTAACGCTTATGGCAATCTTGGCAATGCTTATTTTAGTCTGGGTGATTTCAAAAAAGCCATAGAGTACTACAACCTAGGTCTTAAAATAGCTAAAGAAGTAAGAGACAAATCCTCGGAGGCAACTATCTACTCTTCACTAGGACACGTTTTTGAGTTGCAAGGTGGACTGTCAAAAGCCGTTGAACATTACCAAGCTAGCATAAACTTATTCAATTCCTTGAGAGCACTTCTAAAATCTAAAGATGAGTGGAAAGTTAATTTTCGAAATCAGCATCAAATGGCGTATACGGGTTTGTGGAGAGTTCTCGTAGAACAAGGTAATGTAGATGAAGCCTTATTTGTTGCTGAGAAAGGACGAGCTCAAGCTCTGACCGACCTCATGGAATCCATTTTTTGCGGTGGAACAAGTCACCACAACGGAGAAGATGAAGATTTCACAGTTTTAAAAAACGTTCCATCAAACACTGTCTTTCAGGCAGTGGACAGAACTAACGTCAATCTTTGGGTTGTGTCCGAAGGAAAACAAGTTCGGTTAAGACAAAGCAAACTCAAAGGTTTTGTTTCAGAGAATAGTGAATCTAGCCAGTCCTTTGAGTCGTTCATGCTCGGTGTCTATACACAACTTGGTGTTCGTTCTAATGTGAGATGCGAGGATCGATCTTTAGATGCATTGAGGGCGGGCCGTTCAAAAGTGGATGAGAAAACCAAAGAAGCCAACCCTCAACCTCACATCCAACAAGACGGATGCTTGAGCACTTTGTATGATATCGTTATGAAGCCGGTGGCTGACTTGATTGAAGGGGATGAGCTACTCATTATTCCTGATGGACCCTTGTGGATCGCTCCTTACGCTGCATTGAAGGATGGTAATTCTAAATACCTGTGTGAATCGTTCACAATCCGAGTCGCTCCATCGTTAGCAACTCTTAGTCTCATTGCCGATTGCCCAGATGATTATCACAAAAGCAGTGATGCGTTACTTGTAGGAGATCCGTGGGTATCCGAGGTTACTAACAGCGAGGGAGAGAAAGTCCTCGAGCAGCTTCCGTGTGCTAAAGAAGAAGTAGAAATGATCGGAAAAATTCTGAATATCACGCCAATCATTGGCAGACAGGCCACGAAACGTGAAGTGTTGAAAAGACTCAGTTCCGTTTCCTTAGTTCACTTTGCGGCACACGGATGTCCGGAAACTGGCGAAATTGCTCTTACACCTGACCTAGACCGAATATCTACTGTGCCTACGGAGAAGGAGGATTACATTTTAACGATTCGAGATGTGTTGAATGTTCAACTTCGCGCCAAACTTGTTGTGCTCAGTTGCTGCCACAGTGGTCGGGGCGAGATCAAGGCTGAAGGTGTGGTTGGCATTGCGCGCGCTTTTATGGGGGCTGGTGCTCGGTCGGTTGTGGTGTCCCTGTGGGCGATTGATGACGAGGCTACTCTCCAGTTCATGAAATGCTTTTATCGACACCTTGCAGAAGGTAAACCTACAAGCAAGTCACTGAACCTGGCCATGAAAAGCCTCAGAGAATCAGATGAGTTCCACGAAATCAAATACTGGGCGCCCTTTTTGCTGATTGGAGATGACCTCACGTTTGACGTGATGGCAAAGGAAAGAGAAAATTTGAATAGAAAATCAAATAAATGAGAAAATGTTTTTTTTCATCTCAAAAGAATGAAGTAGGAACTTGGAAGGTTTAAATGTTCCTCTATTTTAAACAATTTTTGGCTATTTTTCTTTACTTTTTATTTTTTGTTAAATGGAACTTGAGATGTGCAACTTCACTATGGTGAAGAAATAAACCAGTCTATTTCATTATATTTTGATCAGTGGAATTGTCTTTTTTTGTTACCTTAACAAATTTAAATGCTTGCGAAGAGAACGAAATGCAACAAGGCCTCTGTTATGAACGAGGTTTCCATTTCCACCAACATGTCACTCAGCTCTGTTCCTGTATTACAATCAATTGTACGGAAAATAATTTAAAGTTTATTTCTTTTACCCAACCAGGGGCTTTTCCACCGGATTTTAATTACCTTTATGCTCTAAGCTTTTGATAAGCAAAGAAACAATTCGTCATTTGCAAAAGTTGGCGAATTTTTATTTCCAAAACTTTGATTGAATATGTATGTGAATTGAATATGAGAATTGATCTTAGACCGTTTTCTACATCATAAATTACTTTGTTACAATTTACCTTCATCTTTACAAAAAAATTGATTACCATTTTCAAGTCAATCCATTTTAATGCAGTCTAGTTCTGTCAGTGCCAAGATTGCCATTGTAAGCTTAATTTGAAGTAAACATCAGAGATGATGTTATTAAATTTACTAACCATATGTTAGAGACATTACACCTACTTTTAGGGGTGTAGCCAGCCTCTAGTCCCGTAGGCCCGGCCTATAATTGTTTTCTGCCCGCTTGACTTTTACTAAAAGATAATATGACTCTTGCAAATGTTGAAACAAAAATTGAAATTTGTGAGGGAAGAGGCTTACATTTAGTCAAAAAGCTGGCTACAACCCTGTTTTCAATCAAACGAGTCTGGCCAATTTTTGTCCGTTTTACCAAACACTTCTCCGTTCGTTTTAAAGAACGACGACAGAGAGGCTAAAAATTGTCCATGTAATCTAAACTAGGAAAGAGGGACGCAGAGTTCACTATAATTAAAGTTTCCATAGGTGCGACTTTTATTGTATGTGACATGGAATTTGTTGTTTCTAATACGACAATATTTACGCTCATAAATGAGAGAAGTAGTTAACGTCAGCCATGTAATCCTCAATGGGAATTATTTTGGTGAAAAGGCTCATGAATTAATGTAAACCTAGTGCGTAGTTGAAAACGTTCAGGGCTTCAGGATAAAACTTCTAATTGTTGAAAATCACCACTTGAAATTTTTTCATCGCTTTAAATTTACCTCAGCATGATTTGAGGATGTCTGATAATATGCGTGGTTGAATATAATGTAACTAGGATTTTAAAGACATGCTGGGACAGTTTCAACTAAACATGGTTTGAATAATGTCAGTGTATTTCGTGTGAAGTGTTTTGATGCTATTTTAAGTTGAAGATAATTGTTAATTTACCTTAGTTTATATTAATTAACTCATGAACTCCCAAGTTCTGAAGAAAAATTCTCCCAACTGATAAGAATGTGTTTCTCTTTGCTGCCGCTTGTTCCGAGAATTCGATGTAACATTATGTTTCTAGGAAAAGATTATCCTCCAGTATGGATTTTCTCGAATTGTTATTGACTCCATGTTTGTCGGTGTATTAATACCGTGAGGAGAATTTAAATTATGATCAGTCTTGGGAGTAAATGGGTTCATTTTAGCGTCTCCGTTTAGCTCGTATTTTACTTAATGCCTTGAACGTTTTAATGCAGTATTATTGTGCTTTTTTTTACTTCTTTGTGTAAGAGATATATACAGTGTATAAAATACAAAAACTGCGTTGATTTACATTGTCTGTCTCCATATTCTTAGGATGCACGTAAGATGTAGAGAAAGCAGATCCTAGGGGGACTTCAATGCTTGTTTTGACCCGCGCGCCAAGTTGATAATGTGTGCAGCTAACAGTGTACTAACATACCATGTTTGAAGCCCCCGCCCACTTAGCAAAAGCGCGTCATCTCTTCGATTGTATCTCTTTCACTGTCTATCGTTCTCCGTATTGCCACACGGTTTTGAACGCCGACGGACGTGTTCATACTGTTACATATCTGCGCCTTTTTTTTATCTTTTTCCTCACACAAGTTTTTACACCTTTTCACATTTGCGCATCCCTTTATTTTTCTCCTTCCTCTGGTTCCTTCCATTTTTTTTTCGTCGCAATTTTCCTTTATTCCCATCTTTACGCGCACCTCTTTTATCGCCCTCAACTTTGTTCTTCTGCGCGCTTCATAGGACGCGAATATCTCCTTATCTGTTTCAGTTTTCACTCGTCTCAATCTTCGCGCAACGTCAGGCTTCTTACAACTCATATACCTCGTTACTCCCCCATAGTAGTTGTGATCATGCGTATTATGTCCACTTTGGGATGGTGTCCTCTTAAAGTCATCTTTAGTGAAATCTCAGTTTTCCTTTCGATTGATTCCTAGTCCACAGAGTGCTCTCCCCAGTCCTCTCATCATAATGGCAGTTATAAAGCGGAAGAGCTCCCTCCAAGTCTCGGCGACATAATCGGTGCATTTTGTTGGAAACGAGTCCCTCAATGTCCAAATTAAGGCCTCTTCTATCATCTGATTGGGAATGGGTCAAACTCTCGCCCAGGGTCCACCTACAATGCGAATCCAAGATGGCAGCAGGCCAATCCACAGCCGGACTCTATCGAGTCGGTAGCCGCCATCTCGGATGTAGACGCAGAGAAGACCCTGAAGAAGAGTTTTGACAAAACAATAATTGACAAAGGATAAGTTACAATAGTGCTTAGAGAGATAGCCGATGACAACTTGAGAGATTCATCATGAGCAAACACGTTCCATCGATTATTAAACTCCTTGTCTACTCGAATACGCACTCCTATATGCCCCTCTTCCCCGTCCCTATACATCCCTGTACTGCAAGTTTTATCATCATACAGCACAATACAACATTATACCCCTGAGTAGCACTGTAAATCTGTAAAATGCAGTAACTAGACAACGCTTCACAACAATATGTACCCCTAGATAGCACTATGCTTCCCTCTACTGAATTTTAAATCACCATTCAGCGCTATATAAACAATTGCTCCAATTTGGCGCCAAAATAATTGCGGATATTTGTTCGCGGTCATTTTCTCGAATTTTCTGTACCAAGATGCGGAAACTGTGAGCTTCGAGGAACAGATAATATCCAAGGACAAATATCCGTACATATTTTCGCGCAAAATAGACGCTATGGGTTTTTTATCCTTCAAATATTTTGTAACGCACATGAAAAATATTAATGAACAGCTTACTGAATTGAATTAAGAAAAGGTTAAGTTTCTAAAAAAACTGTTGTGCTACGTCGGTGGGAGAGTATAACATGGTAATTTAGTATTATCAACTGAGTTGATAACGTAAATTGGCCACCGCAATGAGTTTAAAAACTGACGTTTCAAGCGTGAGCCCTTCGTCAGAGCGATTGCAAAGGGCAAACGCTCGAAACGTGAGCTTTTAAACTCTTTACGGTGGGCAATTTACGTTATCGATTCAGTTAATAATGCCTAATTACAGTGAATTGCATTAATTTTGAGATGAAGACTTATCGTGGTGGACGCAAGGTCTGCAAATTGGGGAATATCGTTTAGGCGATATACTTGGATACACCTAGTTTTAGCCGGGGGATATAGTCACTTACTGCGTTTAGACCAATCGCGCGCGAGCAAAATTATTTGATGGATCATAAGCAATATTATAACATAGCTAATAAATTTGTCTTATCAAATTCAATTGCGCGAGCGTGCTTCATATTCCTATTGTGTACGCTCAGGACGTCAGCAAACAAATCCCGCCAGAAAAAAATTTCCCATCGGGTTGAAAATGTTATAAAACAATTGGTTCATACGTCAGCTGTGCGTTCATCGAGATATGAAGCATGCGGCAAGTTTGGAGAGCACGAAAGATGCGTAAGAGTTGCTCGAGGCGTAGCCGAGAGCAACTCTAGCTTCTTGAGAACCAATTGTTAAATATGTACCCCTTGTTTGCACTACACTTCCTGCTACTGTAATTTACATCACAATACAACGCTATACAACAATACGTACCCCTAAGTAGCCTTGATCGGCATAATAGAATACATACGTCGAAATGCTCCAGCCTCACGGGCCATGCTTTATGTCTTTCTCCCAAATTCATTAAATACTCGATGAAAACCTCTGCGTCGTTTAACGAAAACACAGCATTTTCCAGCACAGTCATGACTCGTCTGACGTGAAGATACAGAGATCGAAAGTTGATTACGGCTTCAAGTTTCAAACTCGTAAAGGCGGGAAATATGTCTTCAACTCTTGGGTTGGACTCAAAGAGTCTGAAACAAAATCATTCATGATCATCGTTATCAATTCTGAATAATTGAAATTCGATTCACGTTTACTTTAGATAATAAATTTTACTTCCATTTTGCCAGTTATACAAAGAAATCAAGTTACTGAGTAATACCCACAACAAGATACAGCTACACTGTTGTGAATCTCCATCCTCATCTTCAATAGAACTATGGTATCACAAAAGTAGTGCGCATTCGTTTGCATTTTAAAGTCAGTTTACCGTAAGATAATAACCCGATTGGCAATAAAACAGGCAAAACACGCAGCAGCGCTGGTGCTTTTGCGTTTGCGCACGAAAAGGCCGAGAACACATTTTCACTGTCTACTAAATTGTTGATTGTTTTCAATTTTCAGGTTCCTCTTTAAAACAGGGGCTCGGTTTTTAGCGACTTGTTCAAGTACTGCTCTAGTTAAGACGTAACTTAACTTTTTATGCAGTACGAAATAGAGAAACAACAGGTGGCACCTTTTAAAGGACATTAAACACGTTATGATAAGTCCGCAAATTCTTTAGGCAACAATACTCGTTAACAATTCATAAACATCTGTCGCAGTTGCAAAAGTTTACGCGTTATATTTGAATG